GGTGTGGAGCTCCAGCAGAGGAGCTGTGCTTGAACCTGCCCTGTGCTTGTCGTGCCAGCAGGGGGCGCTGGAACCCGCGCTCCGTCTTGACGCGATTAATTAACTCGGTCCATCCCAGAGGAGGAGGGAAACTGCTCCTGATGCCTGACCTCCTCTCTCCTCCTCCTCTCAGTAGAAGTGTGGTTCGTGCGGAGGACACAGCAATGTGAGAGTCGCTAGTATGCACGAACAATTTATGTAAATGGCTCCTCTCGGAAGGAAACTATATCAGCGTTTGCTGCTCTTTGTCTTGCTGCCAATCTCAGGTAAGAAAAAGCGTTAATTAAGAAAATTCATAGTTTTGAATAAAGTCATGAAGTGAGATGCATTAATTTGCTATCCGTATCCTGCATGTGTGGACACTAATAGAAGCCGAGAGGACTTTATTTATTTGTGTTTATTTATTTGTAATGAAAGTTTTTCAACTAGCTCTTGCTAACTGGTCGCGCGACGCAGTCAACATTTAAGCTAACTTAACTTGGAAGTAGCGAAAACAAATACGAATAAACTCGTGTTGTTTACTTAATTTACCCGTTGTCACGTGCATATTTGATTAATTACTCACACGAATGTTAATACAACATAAAACTCCAAAGTACTGCGTGTCTGAGTGGTATTAATTCGTCATTTTTTATTGTTTTTTTATGTTAATGTAAGTTTGCTAGCTCAGATATCAACCTGCTTTGTTTGGCGTACTTTTTTTTTTTTTAACCATTATTATTACAAATATTAAAAGCAGCAGTCATAAGTTAACAAAGTTTTAGGACTGTGTTGTCTCTATGGGTTATTAGCTATTTTGTGTGTACTTAAATAGTAATAAATGGGGTCACAAGTCTTTGTTTCTGTCATTTTGTGGGTCAGAAGTTGAAAGGTTTGTTTTAAAGTATAGGTACTGACTGGTAAACCTTATGCATTGTGTGTAACTTTAGTTTCAAAGTAACTCCTAAAAAGCTATGGTAATAAAAGAAGTATGCTGGGAGTTCAGCATAAGGTTTGCATGAGAACTGAAGATGCTAACAGGATAATCCATTTCACCTGCTGCTGACTTTACAGCTTTACTGTACTGGTCCTCCAGCTGGTAGCCCTCCAACTCCTCAATGATGTAAACATTCATTGGTAGCTACTAAAACAGACAATAACCACTAAGAATTCACCCAGAAGAATCTCTCAAATACTGGCTTCAGGAAAACATGCCCTCAAGTTAATACTTTAACTTTTTTTAGTTTGACTCCTAGCAGCGCACCTTGATCCTCGTTTACATCCCAGGCTTCATCTCCTTGTCTTTCTTTTCACAGGTGTTTTTAGCTTTAGTGAGTTATTCTTCATCAAGGAGCCCCACGATGTCACCGTCATGCGCAAAGAAGCGGTTATTTTGGACTGCCAGGCGCGTGGAGAGGCGCCCATGGATGTCAGATGGCTCAGGAATGGAGTGAAGTTAGCGGAGAACGAGCGGGTGTACCTGCTCTCCAACGGCTCGCTTTTTATTTCAGAGGTGGAGAGCAGAAGAGGAGACAAATCAGATGAAGGGTGCTATCAGTGCCTTGCTCAGAACAAGTATGGAACAATCATGAGTCAGAAAGCCCGTCTTACAATCGCAAGTGAGTATTCTGTTTAAATACATAAAAGAGAACATATGAACAAGTATAATGGTGTTTGGAAGGTATATTAATTAAAATACTTAAATGTCTTAATATATGGTTGTATCTACTGCGTTTGTGGTTTTATTTTCCGCTCAAAGGTGCATTCTGGTAAAAAGGAACAAATCTTCAAAGTTGCAAAATGCTGCTTAGGTTGGGGAAATGCCCATTGGTGTGGTAATGAAGGAACAGGAGATATGGGGGGTTAGAAAGCTGTCCAGGAAACTAGCCCCCCAATGCTAAAGAGCAGATGACCCCTATTCACTGGCCTGGGCTTTCATGTTATTGCACCCTGATCGCTTGAGGAATTGTTCTTTTGGAATGCTTTCTCCTCCAGTGCCCTGCAAGTTAGGCTCGTATTTTAAGGGGGAGGAAGAGAAGCTGAGTTGGTCTTCTGGGACCTTATAGTGTCACCCCCCACCCCCCACCCCCCCAACAAGCAGGTCATGCATCTTGTTGTGTCAATTTTATATGACGTGCAACTATTTGCACCTCAAGCAGTGCATTTCCAGCTAATTTATGCAATGTTAAGATACTTTATTTTTAATTTATTTTCTTACAGAATAGTAAAACAATTAGAAAATTGTTTTATATTGTGGTTGGCTTCTTTATTTTATTTTTGTTATTATTTGTTTTTATGTGAAGTAGATTTTTCATATAGAAATAATATATATATATATTTTAAATAAAAGCAGATCCGGGGTACAACCAGCTTTAGTTAGTTGTATTTAGTTACATGCAGGTGAAACCAGTGCCTGAAGAGTACATATAGCTTTATTAATTGATTGAGTAGTTTATTTATTGAAATGAAATGAAGAGGTGATAAAGGATGCCTTTCAGCTTTACTAGTTTGTTTTAAAATAGCACTTAGACCTGCTAGAAGGTCTATCTGGAAGCTCATAAAATTTTCACATACCTGAGAAATGCTCAGTTGAAGGACGCAGAGGTACCAGTGGGGGTTGTTACACGTGGTGAGCACATACACACAAATGGGAATTGTTGTTTCCCAGTACTGGGGCTTTACCCTTAGTGAAATGACCAAACTTTATTGCAGGCCTTCCCAGGTCAGGAGGGATTGGAGGCTTTACACACAATTGTTTTCCGCCTCACTAGTGACGTGCTGAAAAGCTTTTCACTCTGACCGTTTTTGTCTCCGTTGCTTCCCAAGCACACCAAAGAGAAAGATTCTTTGGGGGTGGTTGTTTGTCTTGAAATAGGTGGACAGAACAGCTGGACTTGAAGGTTAATGACGTACATCATAAAGGTTAATCATTACCAAGTCTTCAATTATTATTATAAAGGTCAAACAATCTTGTAGTTTGATCTGAGACTATGTAATCTTTTTTTTTTTAAATAAGTTATGTGCATTAAGGACATTTCTGATCCATGTGGTCTTGTGACCTCATATGTTGGCGCCTCAGCTTGAAGATGGATGCTACGACATGAGCGGAGCCTCGGTGCCTGCTTTCATGACATGGTTTATGTCCTGGGTGTGGGAGTGATGCTCTGTGGGAACTTTTTAACCCTTTACACATTTGCTAAAGCTGCTGGTTATCATTTGAGGAGCATGGTGCTGGTCGTCAGGCACAAAGGTGAGATGGGATTTGGCCTTGATGAGAAGGAATGTGACACCTGAGCTCCATCATGTGACTTATGTCAACAGACTTCAGATTGATGGGGATTTTTGTTGACAGATTGCCTCCTAAGATAGCTTTCTTTTTTATTGCAGCTTGTGACCACCAGGGAGCTAGGCAAAAAAAAAAAAAAAAAATAATGTAAGCTTTCTCTCAACTGGCCTCTGCATTAAAATTACACCGAGATGTTGAGGTTTACACATCCACTAAATCTTCAGCTGTTTTGACAGTGAAAAGCTCATTCAGACAGTAATGGTAATGCTTTTTGCAATTCTTCTTATTGATGTGAGGAGAAACTGAACTGAGGTCACGTTTTGGACCAAAACACCAAATTCCAGTAACAACTGAATTGACAATGTCTAATCTAGCAGATAGTTCATGTTTGGGCTTATCTTGAAGGATAGCCCTTCCTTGATGTTATTATATTCACGCAAACATAAGAACAGGTTGAATTGCCAGAACTGAGTGTATGTAAGAATAGAAATGTTGTTGGGGGCTATTTGTCTAAAAGCAATTTGGATAATTTCACCCAACAATGATGCTGTTCAGTTTGTTTGTGTGTAACGTTTACCACTGAAAAAGCTTTGTAGGAGGTCAGTGAGGGAGCTGTGGCAGTTTATTTTTTATCTCCTCGGTGTGTTTGTAGGACGTCGGCTCAGAAACACTTAAGTTGCCAAGGAATGCATCCGACTTGCTCTGGTTTGGCGCAATTAGAAACCCCAATAAGTCAAAAGCAAACCTTCCACAGTTTGAACGGAGATGTGAATGAATGAAATGCCCTTAAGGGAGACAATTCAAAGCCTGGAATCTTGTTTTTCTCCTCTGCTGGAGACGAAAGGTTACCATGGTTCCCTTGAACAGCAGGCCCTGGGGGTCAAAGGTTTCCTAAAACTGTAGATGGTGGGCAGGGAGGCTCAAACCAGGATATATCTTTTGTGCAAATGTGCTCAATGCTCAACTTTACCTTCACTAGTTATCAATATGCAGTTTGTACTTTTAATTAAGTTTTTTTTTTTCCTTATAAGTTTGCAGGTTTTATTATGTTTAGTTGCCTAAACGTGTTAAAAAAAACAGACTGTAGTTATACAGATTTAACTTTTAAACTCTGATCTGAAGTGGAGATTAAAAACAATGAAGCTACTGTGTCAGTGGAGGATTGCTGTTGAGTGATTGGAAAACTTTGTGGCAGAGATAAGGAACTGGAGGAGGGGGATGAATGCTTTTTCTAACACTGCTCCCCCACTGCCTGCCCCAAGCTTTGGGAGGTCACACCGCTCATGGGAATAGGTCTTTGTTTAGCCAGGCCAGTGGTCACTCCACTGTCCTGCAGTCTGTGTGAGCAGCAGCACATCTGCCGGCCAGCCAGTGATTGATAAGTGGGCTTTTCCAGCTTTGCATTCTTCTTCTCGCTTATCAGCTCACCATTTATTTTTTCCACTTTCGTAGGGGTCAGAAAGCACTGTGAAGAGCTCATCACTTAAAAAAAAAACAATACATATGTTCCCAGCTGAACTGGAGACGCAAGTGATGGACAGGAATTGGACAAATTAAAAGAGCATGTGTGAAAGTTTTAAATGTAGATTCGATAAGACTGATGGTCATCAGTGCAGCCTGCAGGACCAGGAAAGGATGATCAATTTTAACGTCTGCCAGTAAACATTGGACCCTTGGGGATGAGTTGTATAAGATATTTGGTGTGAACCTAATAGCCTTCCACAAACTGAGCACACACACTGCTTTTACTGCACACAGCAAAATCGAACAAAAAATAATTTCACGTAAGTTTTCTGCAGAAACAATAGCTCGCATGTAAGAAAAGTTTTTTGCAGTTCTGTGTCGCCCACTGGCTGAAACAGACCGCGGTAACCAGATGAGAGAGGGCTGAACTCATTCCTGCCATTTGTAAGGGAATCTTTGTTTGGGCTTGACCTGTCCGCTGACCTTTAGTTTGCTGAGCCGCCTGCATCAGAAAACCCATCTGCTGTGTAAAGAAGTGTGGTAAATATAGCTTTACTTGGCTTGCTCCGTTTTGAGTTTATAGCGATTGTGCTACAATAAACCAAGAACAGATATTGAGTTATTACCGGTAGTTTTTTGGGTTTTGGTGTTTTATAAATTAGTTTTATTGTTGCGGTTCAGCCTGCTTCTTTTGTTTTAAAGTAAGGCTGTTTATGATCCCTCTTCAAAACATAAACATAACTTTTTGACTCATTACAAATTTTTCAAATCCAGCTTAAATATAATGCCCGACAGCAGCTAAACTTTTATTCTTCAGCAGCAGCTTCTGGAACACGACAGCAATAAAAGGGAAAATCAAATTATTACAATTTATAATTTTATGTTGGCAGCGCAGGAAAATAGACTTAAGTGATTTTTTTTGGGCAGTTTGCATGGAATTAGTGAGCAGCAGGATATATATATATATATTTTTTTTTTTTTTTTTTTTTGTGGTGGGAGGAGGGTCAACCACTGCCTGAGTGTTAGCCAGGATTTGTGGAGGTCAGAGGTGAGAGGTGACATTGCTGAGAAGGGCAGATGGTCCAAACTGTTTCATCAAACTTGAGAAAAAGCTTGCTCGTTTCGATACTTTGATATGATAAAGATAATTTACAAAATATTAATTTTGTGAAACTGAAAACAAAAACTTGCATCCAGTGTTCCTTTAGTAAAACTCAAGATTTGGCAGATTAAATTAAACCACACAGGTTGAGCTATCTGCAGTGATAATTTAATGTAATTACATGCCCCTTTGGAAAACCGCACGGGCCGGTGTACGACAAACCATAGAGTTTATAGATTTTACTCCTGCTCTTAGTGGTTTATCAATAATCAATGATCGTCCTTGTGTTTGTCAATCCAGAATCACTTCCCGAATGGGAAGGGAACATCAGGAGAAAAAAGTATGTAGGCAGCTCATCTCCTAAGCCCTGCAGGCATTAATCTCAACACTGTGTGTGTGCGTGTGCGCACACGTGCATGTGTGTGTAGGCCTCTCTCTGCCTCTGTCATCACTTCAAACAGCCACAGTGGAGCTACCAAAGCTAAAGGGGTAACAGCTCAAGACTAATTTGGTTAAATGGAACTGTGGTGAGGACATTTGATCCAGACCACAATTTGCTTCCTGTTAAACAAGAAAGAAAGACGTCAGACACATTGCACACAAATATCGGTCAATATATCCGTAGTCGTGTTAGTTCCTCAGTGAATGTTGATATGACTTGTAAGCAAAGTGTCGCCAAGTTTGGGGAGTTCATAATTTATTGAATGTTTTAGGGGTTTTGTGGGGAGTTGGTGCCCTCCTGCTGTTTAGCACCATAACACCTGGCAACACTGCTTACACACAGACGTTTATCATCCTCCACATACACACCACCGAGCGTTTATTGCAACGTACGAGTTGTTTACACGTCTTAAAAGTTGAGGTTACTTCAGCAGAGTTCTGTATGTTTGGAAAGAAATAAAAAGAAACATACAGATGGGGATTATAGATGAGAAGGTCTGTAAAAAGTTGTGCGGTTTGTTGTTATTTCTTTATTCATAATGCTCTCAGATTTTCTACGCTCATGTTTTATGCTTACCCATATGAAGTTTGGGCATGATGAGCGTTGATGGAGCAGCAGAAGCAGCTCCAGACGTGCGCAGAGGTTAAAGAGCAACACACTGGCTTTGTTTAACTTAGACAGGTTTAGCTCAGAGATTTTATGTGTTTTATGTATTTTTTAATTTATGTAGACTGTAGTTGATCGTTTTGATAATGGACAATGATGCCAGTTAAGTCAATTTGTGGACCTCTGAATGTTACATTAACAGATTACAAATAAAAGAATGTTGCAGATCTCAATATTTTCTCTGCCATAAACAACTCAGCACCTGACTGTAAAAGAAGAGGGTAGTGTTGTGGGTGACAGAACATTCAAAGTATTGATACAAAAAGCGTTTGTAGTTCATGGTGGGTCTTACTTGCTTGTGGGTCATCCAGTTGCTGACAGCATCTCAGTTTCAGGGAAACTCTATCTATCCATGCAGGATGTTGCTGTTCTCCTCCAGTCAACACCTTCCTGCAGAACTCGGCGTCTGTGGATTTAAGTTAGCAGGCATCCATGACATTATCTGGACCACCAATAGATGTTTGAAACACATCGCTCACTATTTTTATAAAAAATAAATCAGTGTCAGTTTACGGAAGATTTAATCTACAAGTAACGATCATCCTTTAGATTCTTTTTATTTGTTTGTTGGTTTGTAACGGCTGCTAATAAAAGGAAATCCAAATTGTAATTTCATCCTAAACTATATTTCTTTGCAGGTTTGAGAGTCTATTTTTAATATTTTCTTTGTGGACAGTTGTGTTAGAATGTTTAAGTTTTATTTAATCAGCTTGGGTTACTGTATATTTGAGTCAACACAAGTGATTTTTATTTTAATTTTTTATTTTTTTGCAGCAAAGAATCACCTGAAGAAATCTTTTGCAACTTTTTTCTAAAAAGACTAATTTTCAGAGATAAAACAAGAAACTCTGGTTTGTTTGGAGATATTTATTAATCAAACTTTATTCTGCTACACTATCTTATCATGTTCCATTGTAAAGTAAAGAACAAAGTTGAACATTTTGTTTGTATGCGGGACATAAAATCTCCTTTTTCAATTTTAATTTTAAATGTTTCTGTGTTGCTGCAGGTATGTCCTCGTTTGCACTCCAGCCGACCTCCATAGTGGTAACCGAAGGCTCGGTTGCCAGGTTTTCCTGTAAAATCAGTGCACACCCTCCTCCTATCATTACTTGGGAGTTTAATCGGGTCACATTACCACTCTCCACTGAAAGGTATAAAACGTTTCTAGTTTGTTGTCTGTTAATAATTTTATTCTTAGCAGATATATTTGTCTGGAGCAAAATATGCATCATGGTAAGACTTGTGGTTACATCTCTTTTACATCTCAGAATCACAGTCCTGCCCAGTGGTGTTCTTCAGATCCACGGGGTGCAACGAGGGGATGCTGGACACTATCGCTGCATCGCCACCAACATCGCCAGTCGCAGAAGAAGCACAGAGGCCACCCTCACTGTCACCCCATGTGTGTCAAACATCTCTTTTTAAAATTCTGTTGCTCAGTACGCTTATCTAAATCTAAGTGAATAAGGTGTGATAAATTGGTTGGAACAGTATCACCCTCACCGGCATTTGTTCTGAGAGCAACAACGTTTTGTCTCGACTCTTACTCCATCACACCTGCCGTAACTCTGTTCGCCACTTTCTGTGCAGCTCCAGGCCTCCAGCTCCCTCAGAGACCTCGCATCATCGCTGGACCACAGAACATCTCCGTGTCCCTGCACCAGACTGCCATCTTGGAATGTCTGGCCACGGGCAGTCCCCGGCCCATTGTCTCTTGGAGCAGAGCAGACACCAAGTCTATTGATGTTTACAACACCAAAGTATTGGGAAATGGAAACCTCATCATTACAGACATCAAGCCCCAGCACGGAGGAGTCTATATGTGCAGAGCCACCACTCCCGGCACTCGAAACTACACTGTTGCCTCAGCCAACGTCACTGTGCTAGGTACACCCGGTTGTTTGGCTGTGCACATAGGTTACTAATGACATTGACCTGTTATAATTCCTAATAATGTTGTGTTTATTTTTTTCATGAAGCACCTCCCTCCTTAGTGGAGTGGCCTGAGAGCTTGACACGTCCTCGTGCTGGCACCGCCCGTTTTGTGTGCCATGCTGAGGGATCTCCAGTGCCTCAGATCACATGGTTTAAGAACGGAGAGAAAGTTCACTCCAATGGTCGGGTCAAGATGTACAACAGGTATATTTCTTCAAGATGTATTCACGTGGATTTCCTGAATCCTATATATCTTTTGCACGCAATGAACGGTAGCTATTATTTAGTTGACCATACAATTATACATTTAACAGTTGTTGTCAACCAAGTTAAAACTGTTTAAATAAATACTTCACCATTGCCCCTACAGTATGAAGGAAACTGAATAATTTACAACTGTGCAAATTGGATTTTTGTTGATTTTCCAATAATTTTCTCCTGCTCATTATTTAACTGTCACAGCTCGTTAAAGTAATTATAGATGACAACACTCTGGAAAAGAAAAGGCATCTTCAGGAAGAAGCCACATGGCTGTAAACTCTGTATCTGTGTATCTCTTAGCAAACTGGTCATCAACCAGATCATCCTTGAAGATGATGCCATTTATCAGTGCCAGGCTGAAAATGAGCTGGGATCGGTCCTGTCCATGGCGAGGCTCATCGTGGTGATGTCAGAGGACCGACCGAGCGCGCCCAGAAACCTCCAAGCTGACACGGTGTCGAGCTCAGCCATCCTGCTGGCTTGGGAAAGGCCTCAGTATAACTCCGATAAAGTTATTGCCTACTCTGTGCACTACATGAAAGCTGAAGGTGAGTGCTGAGCAGACACACAGGTGAGGGGGTTTGTTTAGCTTTGATCACATGAGTAATTCTTACCTCTAAACAACCTACATTTTGTGTTTGCAATGCTTTTATTGTCTGGGAATGTATTGACCAGGGGCTGGTATGATAACCTTGAGCAGAAATACCAAAATTTCACGGTATTAAAGCAAAAAATTTAAAATGCATGGCATGGTTTATTTGCTTTTCCAACAAAGTTAAGTCAGGTCCTCTCTCTGGAGGTCCAGAGGTCCTCTGGTTGTTGGTCCACTCAGAAACCACTCTAAGGCAGCCAGAAAGCATCTAATTCTTGGCTTGAAGTGTTTTGAGAGAGATCCTTATATTGTCTGCTAACACGCGTTTCAAAACAGCTTTACTTTATAAATGGAGGCGGGCGTTTCTTCTGTGGTAGATGAACCATGACAAAAAACAAACATTGTTTTTGAAAGAGCATACAAGTTGAGGAGGATTTCCACCTCAGCTACTATACCCAACTGAATGTGTAGGAGCTAGGGGTTGAACGGCTACATATTTCTTAAAGTCGACATAATAGTCGAGTCGATGTCGACAAGTTCATGATGTCATAGGAACTCAAAACGCTTTGAAAAAAGGCAAAAAAAACCCCATAATTTATTATAATAAAAAAAAGAACAACAAAACATCAGGAGCGTATATTTATGCTCCTACCATTTATCGTACTGCAAATAACAAGAAAAACAAAACTATTATTAAGCTGCAAAAATTGTTTTTATTGTATTGATTCCACTAAATAAAATAAACCACTGGTGGAGGTGGATTCTCCACCAGTGGTGGTGCACACCCCTGTTTTTTTTTTGTTTTTTAATTTGTGGGTTAAATAAAATAAAGGCGGTGGTGCGCGGTGCACACCTGTGGTTTATTTTATTTAGTGGATTAAATAAAATAAAACTAAAAGCAACATCATCTTTACACTGTTGATGCATTTCTACTTGTTTGGGAAGATGTTGCCTGCTCCTCATCTTCCGTCTGATTGGAAGAATCTGTTTTGTAGCCAGCGGCTCGGCGCTGATCACGTGACACAGTTACCGACTGTGACTAGTCGGTGTGAAATTTTAAAACTTGTGTGATGTCCTAGAATCGACTAGACGACTAGTCTACTCGGCCCCTGGTAGGAGCAACAGGTAGAGAGGGGGAGTACTGCTCTCGTTGAAGGGGGAGGGACAACACAGACAGAAAAATGCTTTGTCTCCAGTACAAGTTATTTAAACCGTATAAATGGTATGACAGAAAAAATGTTTGGTTTTATCACCGTGGTATACCTTGAAACATGTAACTGGCCCATTCCTAGATTGTATAATCTTGATTCAGCAGCTTTTTGCCCAAAAAGGGTTTAAGTTTTTGTTACAACTGTTTTTTCTCTACTGTTTTGTTGGAAGTTAAAAATGTGAGCTCTTAATGAAGGTTTTTGAACAATCAAGCAGCCTATTGACTTGTTGAATTTCAAGAGGCCAGGCCCCTTCCTTTGCCTGATAAAACGCAGTAGGAAGACAAAACTATTCAACGAGGAAGCACAAGCGCTGTTCTGTGACAGCAGAAAAAAAAAAACTTTGGAGTGTTTTAGTCTTCCTGGGAATTCTTGCTGTCGATAACAAGAGTCACATTCAAAGAACGCTAGATTTCAGGAAAATGTGCTTCCTGCTCTCTCAGACACTGCTTAATTGCAAAGCCACTGACTTCCATGAAGTGAAGGAAATGTCCAGCGTTCGACTTAAAGAAAGGAGCACCTGCTGCACGTTGTTAAGGATAAGGAGGTCAAAATAGAAGCTGAACAAATGATGCGTTTTATTCTTGAATAACAACCAGCTGTCGGGGATTTTCAGCTCTTGATATAGATTATTTGATTCAATCTTGTTGTTCCCAGTCAGGAAGCGTAGCTGTTCATTGACATTGACAGAGTATCGGTGCACTCTGCACCTGAGGTTGTTGACAGAGGTTTGGCTCTAAATTGAGGCTCTGCAGAAAGGGGGAACTAATTAGCCTGTGATGGAGCGTTCAGAAACTGTGTATCCTGCGAGGCAACAAAACGGTGTGAAGTGGACAGAAAGACGAGCTTTGTCTCTTTTCACGAAGGCTTACTGAGGCATGCAGTCTGTTTAGAATGGCTTTTGTTTACCCTGAAGTACTTTGTTTTCCAGGTTAGAAATAAAACCGGGGTTTTTATTTTCCTTCAGGCACAAATTTTGTGAGAGAATTCTGTAAAGCGTTTTTATTCAGACAAATATAAAGTGGAGATTATGAGTACAATAATTTTTGTTGTGACTACTTGTTGCAGGTATCAGTGTAATCCTTTAACTGTCTGAATGATCTAAACTTAATCTGCTAAGTTGCTGTGATTATTTCATCTGATTTTATTCTCGTTATTTGACCAGGATTAAACAACGAGGAGTATCAAGTTGTTATTGGAAACGATACGACTCGCTATATTATTGATGATCTGGAGCCGGCTCGTAACTACACCTTCTACGTGGTGGCCTACATGCCGATGGGAGCCAGTCGCATGTCGGATCACGTCTTCCAGCACACACTTGAGGATGGTGAGGCCTAAACCCCGAAAAAATTATTAACAATATAATCTTTCATTCTGTAAAAAAATCAAAAATCTGTTGTAGTAAATATATCAAATTGGGTTGTTTCAGGATGGTAAATTATATCTGACCATGGGAATTTTATAATGCATTTGTAGCTAATCTTATTATCTGGTTCAGATCTGGAATACTGGCTGAAAATGTTTTATTTATTAATAAAGGTTCTATTCCAATCAACAAATTAAACACCTAATAGAAGCCGTAGTTCATCATAATAAGACAAAATGACATAAAAATCATACTTTGACACAGAATGCCATCCTAATCATCCAGCAAAGTTAAGTCAGGTCTTCTGGACGGTTTCTTTGTGTTGGTACATTTCGTCTTTCATCCAAAAGACTTCATCAGTCTGAGGAACCACAACAAACTCAGTCTTATAAATAGTACCTTCACATAGTGGGTCAACCAGTTTGATGGTGCTCTGATGGTTCCTGGAGTCTGCCCTCTCCCCCGCTGACTCGTTTGAGGCAGTCATGGCTAAAGTGGTTCAAAACATCAAGGTTCTTGATCAATAATCCAGGTAAAAATCCATCCATGCATCCATTATCTTTACCCACCTCCTCCTTTTCAGGTCATGGGGGTCACTGGTGCCCATGCCCAGCTATCACTGTGTGAGAGGTGGGGGACACCCAGGACAGGTCTCCAGTCCATCACAGGGACACATAGAGACAAACGAGACAAACAACCATTCACTTTCTCACCTAGGGACAATTTAGAATTACCAATTGGTCTAACATGCATGTTTTTGGTCTGTGGGAGGAAACCGGAGTACCTGGAGAAAACCCACACATGCACGGAGAGAACATGTAAATTCCACCCAGGAATGCCCCGGGCCAGGATTTGAACCGGTGACCTTCTTGCTGAGAGGCAGCAGCTCTACCAACTGAGTCACCGTGCCCCCCGTTAGAAAAATCCAACAAAGTTAAGTCTCAAACGTCCAGAGGACCTGACTTAACTTTGTTGGATTTTTTGTACCTGGATTTTTGATCATGAACCTTTTCCATCCTAATCAGTTTCTTTTGCCTAATACATCATGGGGTATTTTTAAAAACCACTATTTTATAGTAACAGTAAGTGCAGTTTGGTATTTAAGGCGCTTTCTAAACAGCTACATTGTCTTGATTACCAGTCATTTATTTGGTTTCACAACAATGAGCAACTTTTCATGATTGTAGTCAGGTGTGATGCATGACGCAGGACCTCACTCACACTTATGATCTTCTTGGTTCCCAGTTCCCCTCCGGGCCCCGGAGCTCAGCCTCACCAGCCGCAGCCCTACAGACATCCAGGTGTCTTGGCAACCTCTTCCATTGAAACTGAGTCGTGGTCGAGTCTCCAGCTACCGATTGTCCTATCGCACCAGTTCAGAGAGTGCAGTAACACAAATAGAGCTGCCAGGAGAAAAGACCAAACATTTTCTGGAAAGCCTGCACCCTGACACCATCTACCTTCTGCGTATTGTTGCTGCCACAAGCGTAGGGTGGGGGGAGCAGTCAGCCTGGACGTCTCACCGCACTCCAAAGGCATCCAGTGCTCAAGGTACATGTCGAGAAACCATTCTGAGTCTCAAACAGCAGCAAAAATGAACAAAATTAGAGTCAAAGTTGTACTTAGAGTCTAAATGTGCTAGTATGTTAAAAGCATAATCTTATGAATAGAGGAATGTTAGCACTGCACCGGTAAAACCAGAAGACAAAACGAGATGGAGAAGAACTGCTACTAATGATGTCAAGCAATGACTGTGCCGCTCAGTAACTTTTGCTCTCTGTCAGAAGTGTTGGAAGGGCTTCAGTCGTGGGTCATAGAAATGCAACGCTGGGTAAAATATACAGCTGTTCGGAGGTGTAGTTTCTGTACGTTTCTAGTTTATATTAAAAGAAAATAGTCTTTCTTGGCAAAAATCTTAAAATTAAGTTGTGCAAGAATGTCCAAATATTTTTTATGCTGATTTGCAGTGCAAACTTTTATTCATGTGAATTGTTTTCCACTTGTTTTAGGAAATAATCTGTAGTACCGCCATCAAAATTCTTAATTTTTTTTCTGTCTCTTTTCAGTTCCCCTGGCTCCGGAGCTGTATCTTGAGCCTTTAAACTGTACCACTATTTCAGCACGCTGGCAGCTTACACCTAGAAACTCAGCCAAAATCCTGGGCTACAGACTTTTCTACCACGAAGAAAGCCAGCCTGAGAGCAGCCCTGTTCAGCTGCGTGCCTCCAGCCATACCTACGTCATCGAAGGCCTCGGTAAGTTTAGTTCAATTTCAGTTCAGTTTATTTATATATCATATATATATAATCATGACAAAGTTGTCTCAGGGCACTTTACAGGAACATTCACATGCATAGAAACGCCAATTAGTAAAGTTCTCTATCAAGGAAGCCAGCAGACTAGTTGAATCTTCACTTCGTTGCAGTCTCCAATCCTGAGCAAGCACAGTGGCAACAGTGGAAAGGAAAAACTCCCTTTTAAAAGGAAGAAACCTCCAACAGAACCAGGCTCAGGACAAGCAGCCATCTGCTTTGACCGGCTGGTTGAGAGGACAGGAAGGAGAGACAGACGAACACAGAATTGGCAGGTCCAGATATAGGTCCAGGTGTACCTGAAAGACAAAAACATGTGAAGGATAGAAAAAAATAATTACAAATACAAAACAGGTTGATCAGAGTAAGTAAAGACAGTAGCATGGTGAAAAAATGTGGTCAGTTTGTCCTCCAGCAGTCTAAGCCTATAGCAACATAACTTAAGCCTCCAGTATACTTGCGCGTACGTGGGTCCGCACAGGTCCACGCGTACCAGATTAGAGTAGAAGAGGACGCCCGCAGTGCATGTCTGTGCAAAGCTCAATTTTTACGCCCGCGTACGCGTTCTCTGTGTCACACAACTGCCCGGCGACGGACTGTTTTGCATGTGACACCAATACATTAAATTCCCCTTCTTCGTCCCTGATCTGGTTTAATAGCCTTTTCTTTAGTTTTTTTTTTCCCCCAAGAGGCAAGTGATCTCTTCCTCCTCCTCCGTTGATGCCATGACTGAAATGGTGAGAAATGAAGGAATTTGTCACGAAAGAATTAAAATCAGGTCCAGCCTGGCTGCGGGAGGGTCTGGAGATCTCCTGGTGGACTGGTCTGATGTGTGGGCTGCAGGGCCAGCGCTCCCTGTTTTTTTTTTTTTTTTTTTTTTTTTCTTTAGAACTTTTTATTAACAACATATAAACACAGAACACCGCTGCGGCTGGAGCTGCCAGCTCTCGCTTTTTTTATTTTTTATTTTTGCTACCTGTCAATCAGTCCAGTAGGCGTGTCAGCAAATGACCAATCGGCGACCTCAATTTGTCCAGAAGGTAAACGCCCCTTGTCTGCGGAGCTGACTGCAGCTGCTCAGGGTGGACGCTTGAGCATGAAGTCTCAACCCTCTTCGCACAGTGCGCACAGTTTCCGCACGGCTGACAGGACGCGAGAGTATACTGGAGCCTTAAGGGACAGCTCGGGAAACCCAAGCTAACCCTAACTATAGGATTTATCAAAAAGGAAAGTCTTAAGCCCAATCTTAAAATGTCTAAAAAACTGGAAGTTGGTTCCACAAGAGAGGAGCCTGATAACTGAAAGCTCTGCCTCCCATTCTGTTTTTGGAAACTCCAGTAGCCGTGAGTAAACCTGCAGTCTGAGAGTGAAGTGCTCTGTTAGGAAAATATGGAACAATAAGATCTCAAATATAAGATGGAGCTAGGTTGTTGAGAGCTTTGTAGGTTAGAAGTAAGATTTTGAATTCAGTTCTGGACTTGACGGAGCCAATGGCGAGAAGCTAAAACTGGAGAGATATGATCTCTCCCAGTAACTCCAGTTAAGACTCTGGCAGCAGCATTTTGGATCAACTGAAGACGTTTTAAAGAAGTATTTGGACACCCAGCAGTGTTTCCCCTACCATTATAAAGGTGGCGTTCCCCACCCCATCAACGCACCCCACCTACCAAACTGAACTTGCCCCTCCCACCCCCACCTGGCACTGACATATCACTAAGGTAGCGATGCAAAATACAGGCTCTCTAGCTAAAAATCCCAAGGCAGCACTCACATTGCCCCTTCCCTCATGCTGAACGCCCCCCGCCCCCGCTCAAAACTGTTAGTACAAGCTGCGCTCAGACATGTCTCCGTCCCCCCCCCCCATCAGCAAAAATCATGGATGAGATGAGCACCCTGCCATGGCAAGCTAACTAGGGGAAACACTGCCCAGATAATAAACCATTGCAATAGTCCAGTCTATTAGTGACAAATGCATTAACCAGTTTTTCTGCATCATTTTTAGATAACATGTTTCTAATTTTAGCGATATTACGCAGGTGGAAGAAGGCAGATCTAGTAATGGTTTAAATGTGGAGTATAAAAGACATGTCCTGATCAAAAATAACACCAAGGTTTTTCACATAAGAGCTGGAGGCCAGATTAATGTCATCCAAGGAGGGCAAAAAACTGAAAAATTTATTCCTGAGATGCTCAGGTTCAAAAACTAAAACCTCAGTCTTGTCTGTGTTCAAAAGGAGAAAATCAAGGGTCATCCAGGTTTTTATGTCTTTAAGACATGCTTGTAGTTTAAGTAACTGATTGGATCCATTAGGTTTCATGGACAAATATAACTGTGTATTATCAGAATAACAATGAAAATTTGCTGTTTAATAACTTTACCTAATGGAAGCATATATAAAGTAAAGAGTATTGGTCCAAGCACTGAGCCCTGAGGAACTCCATGATTAACTTAGGTGTATGAAGAAGATTCATTATTTATATTTCAGACTACTACTCTAGTACCGTCGCTATAAGTCACCAAACACTATTGTGAACACCGCAATGTGATGTTCATTTATTATGTACATAGAAGTTTCTCTTCTTATAAAATGGTTTAATATTCAAATTTTCATACTTCACTTATATACTTCCACTCCAAAAATAAATAAAACAATAACAAAAAGTAAACATTAGTAAAAATGTGACACATGAGCTTCAGTTATGAATGCTAGCCTCTGAAAAACACAGAAACACAAACTGAAAACTGGAGTTTACTGAGCCTATACATCCATCATCCATCCATCTATCCATCATCCATCCATCCATCCATCCATCCATCCATCCATCCATCCATCATACATACATGCATCCATCCATCCATCCATACATACATACATACATACATACATACATACATACATACATACATACATACATACATACTTACATACATCTTTCATATATAAACACATACATACATCATCTATCTAACTTATCATCCATCCCCCATCCATCCGTCCATCATCATCCATCCATCTAGCCATCATCCATCATCCATCCATTATCCATCCATCCATCATCTATACATGCATCTATCCATCCATACATACATCTTTCATACATAAACACATACATAGATTATCTATCTAACCAATCATCCATCCATCCATCATCATCCATCCATCCATACATCCATCTATACATACATACATACATCTATCCAACCAATCATCCATCCATCCATCCATCATCATCCAACCAATCAGCCATCCTTCATCCATCCGTCTAGCTATACATACATACATACATACATACATACATACATACATACATGCTTACAACCATCCATCCATCATCCATACATCATCCATCCATCTATCTATACATACATACATACATCATCTATACATCCATCCATTATCTTTACCTGCTTCTTCCTTTTTGAGTCACTGGTGCCCATATCCAGCTAGGACTGGGTGATGTATCAAATATACTTGATGTATCACAAGTTTTTCAATTTACGATGGTTAAAATGGCTCTATCGCAACCATCGTGTATAAATTGCCATTCAAATAATAAGCTTTCTACATCTAATTCACTGTGAGTGTTGTTTATTTGACACACTACGAATGCATCGCTAATCCTTGGCCCCTCCCAACTGGAAAATTTTCTGCCTGACATGCTACGCGGAGCATGCACATATAGGCTTCGAGATAGGAAAAAATATGGCAACGGTGGAGTTTCATGTGAGCGGGTGAATGAGACACTAACTGAAAAGGAGTCTGATGAACTAGTTCCGAAGAGAAACAGCACCGGATCAAATTGTCAGATGAGCAGCAGAAAAATGTTTTCTGTAGACAATGCTGAAAACAAGTCCCGACAAAAGGTCAGAGCACTATGAATCGTTTTCACCATTTAAAACAGCTCTATAAGTATGAAGCGTGTGTGAAGCTGCAGCTCTGACTTGACTTCAGCCTCCTTCCCTGAAACAAACCATGGTACAAAACTAATTTAGACGTGCTGCGCCTTATGAGAGGAAAAGTGAGAGGTAGCGTGACATTAATAAACCAGCAGCTTATCATATCGTTAAAGACACGGTCCCAGTCTCAACTGTGGAACAAAACAGCTAAAGACAACGGGGCTAACGTCGTGAAGGCAGCACAGCTGAATAAGTGTCTGAGGATGCAGTGTTTGGGTCACCTGGTCATTGGTGAGTGCAATATTACAATATTCAGTCTGTTGATTTGAAAAAAAAAAAATGCCAGGCATAACGTTAAGTAATAATTTTAACAAATTAGTTTCAGAGCTAAATGTGTATATTGACCACGAGACATTTATTTTCATAAGTGAAACAGTTACAGCTGTTTAATAAATGTGGCTGTGTGACTATTGGGACAAAGCTTTGACTCAGAAATATCCATCCATCCATCCATTATCTTTACCCGCTTATTCCACTTTTGGTCACGGGGGTCGCTGGTGCCCATGTCCAGCAATCACTGTGCGAGGGGCGGGGGACACCCTGGACAGGTCGCAAGCCCATCACAGGGACACATAGAGACAAACGAGACAAACAACCATTCACTTTCTCATTCACACCTAGAGACAATTTAGAGTTACCAGTCAGCCTAACATGCATGTTTTTGGTCTGTGGGAGGAAACCGGAGTACCCGGAGAAAACCGACGCATGCACGGAGAGAACACGCAAACTCCACCTAGAAAGGTCCCGGGCCAGGATTTGATCTGACGACCTTCTCATTGAGAGGCGCTTCTCATTCAACTGAGCCACAGTGCCACCTCTACAGTACATGATAGAGGGATTAGGACGTAAGCGTAACTCCCCTACCACCCGCATGGTCACGTCTCTTAAGACTTCCCATCTGGGCTGTAAATGCAGCCAAGTTTCTCCTTTGTGGAGCTCCCTGGTCTCTTAATTCCCTCAGAGATTCTCTATTCCTAGTTTGAAT